GGACGACGAAGTCCTAGATATCGGAGGGTAATTTTCCGGGGACTGCATCTATTGGTATTGTTGTATTCTTTCTTCTCTGTTCTTCACATAACTGTTCTTGGTTCGATAACCCGTCAGCGGTTGAGGTACTATATCTTGATTCGTTGGGACTTGAGGGGTACGGATCTTCTCGGCGCCCAAGATAATCATAGAGGATTACCTGTACGTAGATGGTCAGATATTTCGGCAGCTAAATCGGCACAGCGCAACACGGTTTGGGGTTTTGTATACTCTCACTGTTGGGGTATATGTTCCTTCTTCAAAGGATACGAGGGTTTTGCATCTTGTAGCTATGCTTAATGCTACCTAATATCAGCTTAGAATATCACGAGATTCGTTGATAACAAACGATATAGATACTCTCAAGGCTCACAGCTATGATAGGTGCCTACGAAAATTCTTTAAAGTGAGGCTATGTGATCGCTTTCAAGTATAATATATGTTGGCAAAATCTATGAGACGTGAAAGCACACTTTCACGGTCTAGTTACCTAGGTGGATTTATATTTATAAAAGGATCAAGGGGAGAGATATCATAATGACTTTCTATATTAGCAGAACTAGAGCAAATCGTATAAATGAGTTTAATAGATGGTCATAATAGGAAGACTATACTTTGTTAGAGAAATTACTGCCTTCTCAACGCTTAAGAATCGAGCACTTATATATTTGTCTAAGCATCCCGTCTGGTCGAGTTAAGATATATGTGACAACATATTGAACATAAAGCTACCTTAAGATATTATACTTAGTACTTACATGTAATGAATATATTAGGTACTATAACGCTACTCTTGACTTTTGTTTTTAAGAGTTTATAGTATAATGATAGTTAAGCTTTTCTTAACTTCTGGTTTAGTAAGCTTCAAGATATCTTCTAATCCCTTATTTTTATGACTGGAAGGAAATTAATAAAAGTAATCTACGTTTATGGTAACAATGTTTATGAATTGGTTGATTGTGGCAAAACTATCAACCTACCTAGGTACCTACCTAACTGATCTCTCTCGGGGCAGGGAATGTAGACCATTCATTTCTTTAGGTATTTAGTAAGGAGCTCTACGCGTAAGCTTTTATTCCGAGATTGTTCTTAAACAGTTGTGTTTACTATAGGGAAGGATATAGTATTATTATAATTTTAAATAGCATCAAATATTTATTATATAGGTAGTTACGTTTGGCGATACTAATTAGGCCCTTATTAATGAGACTCTTCGAAATATTACATTTAAAGGCCATTTGCTACGTTTAGAGGAGAAAATTCTACTTCGAGTTTGTGAATATCGGTACCTGAATGATGCCTATCCTTGATGCTACCCTTGACTGGAGTGTGGTAGGTCTTTACTACTCAAATTACTACTCGAGCGCTATAACATCATCACAATATCTCTTACGTCTCAGATCCTAGCCTTTGATTAGTTGATTAAGTCTACTTATGAATACTAAATCCCTTAAGAGTAATATGTTTGTCAATAAATCCCAATTAACCCCCCCAGTTCACGTCTCGCACTCTAGCAATGGTAGTTTGTTATATCCTTTGGCTGTAGATCATGACTCCTGAAGTACTAGAAATTAAAGAAATAGATGACGGAATAATGTTTTATTACGTGCAATGTGGTTTCGTTATCTGACGACATAAAATACCGTGTCTCATCATATACATTTCAAGTCTAGTTGGAAAGATCTCCTTTTCCGATAACCCTCAACGCCACGCCTATGTATAAAATGAACGTTACCGAGTCGCTTCAATGGCCTCTTCTAGAATATCTAACCCGCTCTCGATTTCATCCTGGCTGACCGTGAGAGGCGGGACGAATCGGAGTGTGTTTGTCCCACAAGTGATCACCAGCAGTCCCCTCTCTCGGGCGGCCTTTACTATTGGCAATGGATCTTGGGTCAACTGCACGCCAAGGATTAAACCCTTGCCACGAATCTCAGTTATAAGGCTGGGGTATCGTTCTCGCATGCGCTTAAACCGTTCTACGAAGATCTTGGACTTGGAAAGGACATCCTGCTGTAACTTAGGATCCGAGAGTTGTGAGACTACATAGTGCGCAAGGCGACACGCCATCGGATTGCCGCCAAAGGTCGTGCCGTGATCACCAATCTTGATCTTCTCGCTAACGTGATGACTGACTATAGTAGCACCAATAGGGAAGCCGTTGCCAAGTGCTTTCGCCGTAGTGAGTATGTCTGGATGTGCTTCCTTGGGTAGGTGGCTGTGGGCCCAGAGCGTGCCGGTCCTCGACAGACCGCATTGGATCTCATCATAGATGAGAACGGCACCTACTTCGCGACACCGCTTCGCTAGGGCGATGAGGAATTGGTCGCTGGCAACATTGACTCCCCCTTCGCCTTGGATAGGCTCGATTATCACACCGCACGTCTTATCCGTCACGAGGTCATTGATGGCATCGATGTCGTTATACGTTCCATACCTGAAACCCGGTAGCATCGGCGCAAACGGTTCTTGATATTTGGGGTTCGGTGTCGCGGAGAGACTCCCCATAGTTCGTCCGTGGAATGATTTATAGAATGAGACGAATTCGTGTTTGGCACCAGTAGAATCCAACACCTTGCCAACTTTTCGGGAAAATTTGATTGCGGCTTCATTCGCCTCGGAACCCGAATTGCAGACGAAGACGGTCGCAGCGTCATGCATAGCACCTGATGCGACGGTTTTCTCTACTAGAAGCTGGGAAAGCGCTCCGGTCCAGGGGTTATAGTAAAGGTTGGATGCATGCCATAGTGTTTGCGCCTGGTTCAAGGGAGTCGATTAGCATAGGAATAATACAGAAATAATATAGGAAGACGAGAAATGAATTGGCGAATGGGCTCGTACCTGGTCTGAGATGACCTTCGCCAAACCAGGGTCACTATGACCGAGGGCATTAACAGCAATACCGGCAGTGAAATCTAGATATTTACGGTTTTCTAAATCCCACAAGTACGAACCCTCTCCTTTAACGAATACTGGAGGCGGCCTGGCATAAGTTGCCAGCATAAATTTGGAATGGTCCTTTACAAGGGCTGCGCTGGCCGAGTCATCAGACGGGTCGGGGTTTGGCAGAGTTGCATCGCGGGATATAGACTCTTGAACATTTTGCGAGAGATTAGACGCTGCTGTCGCCTGAGATGAGAGGCGTCGAACTGTAACGGATGTGAAATGTCGAGTAGGAATTCGAAAGGCCATATTGAACATCCCGAAGCCGGTGTAATATTGGTTCAATATTCGTCGAAAGAAATCAGTAACGAGGAGACGAAGTCGAAGAAACTTGTCAACTTGACCGGCTTAAGAGCTAAACAAAATACCTGGGCAAGGTAGTAGCACGAGTTAGTAAATATCTAAGAAATAGATATCAAAAGGAACTTCGATTGGAGCAATTCGGACGCATCCCACTTACAAGATATTAAATTAAGTATACCTTAGGTAGTAGGTATGTACCTTCCTCCAGATCGTAAAAAATAATTTACAGATCGTTACTATCTACCTATGTATCGATAAGAGAAGCTAGCCTAAATATTGGTCCGATCTCGCATTGGAATATTGGAGGAGGAAAGACTTGAATTTCGCCCTTATTATGTAACTAATTCAAGCTAATACCGTACCTAATTGAGCTTTAATTTAAGCCATTCGAATCTATCTTTTCTCAATCTTCCATTCGAACTACCTGAGGACATAAATGCCAAACGAGACTACTCCAAGCCTTTCTGTATATCTCCATGACTCACGTCGAGTTCGAGTCGTTTGGTCATGTTTCATGACTTTTATCCTTGAGGATATTTGAGATGGAAAACGACGCGTCAATTGCCTAACAAGGCTTTGTGATTTAATTCAAGAGAACCCGATAGTCTATGGTATCGGTTAGAAATTAAATAAATATCTACATATATTACGGCAGTTCGCGGCTTACTATGTAGTAGGTCATGATACCAACCATTTATCCTGTCATGTCAGCAAGGCGTCACATGCGATTTCTTTCTGTCGGGGTTTCTCCAAATCTCCAACGCGGGGTTCCAACGTTCCAAACGTTCTAACTATACCCCTTGGTAAGCCCCCGGACTCAGTGGGCTCGACAGGCTCAAACTGGCAGCCCCCAGCGAAAATTAAAGGCCCAGTCTTGGCATTCTCCCTCCAAAACAACACCATATAATATATTCAAAATAAGCATGAAAAAAAGGGTTGAAAAAAGGAAAAAAATTATATATTAGTTCTTTAGCCTTTATTATCATTATAGGTAATTTTTATAATTTTACTACCTAAAAAACGGTGGAATTATATATGCGTAAATGCTGATTCTTTAAGAAGGGCTAAATGCCAAGACTGGGCCTTTATTTTTCGCTACTGACTGACTGGCTGGAGAACTAGGCGAGTGTGGGGGTGATCCTGTTCTATTAGTGGCCCCCAAACCGACTTTCACATGCCAGGCTCTCAGTGTGTATCCTACACTCTCGCCGCAAACGTCACCAGAAGAGCCGATAGGTTCCAGGTTTCATCCCAGGCCACCATTCACAAGCTTTCAAATTTCACTTACCATCCTGTCAGCTTTGGTCAGGAACCCACAATGCCTCTAACCTAGCGGTCGTTATTATCTTTAGTCCTCGGACCTTATGTCACGAACCCGTTTCTATTATCTGCTTCCTAATGGCCTTGGAGCCTGTCAGCTTGCCATCCGAACTCTCCGTCTAGCCTGTCTTCTACTTGTACCCCAGTCCTAACTCGGTTTTCCTTGGTAGTAATAAATCGTTGTAAGGGACTATGTTGTATTTCACATGCCGTGTCACTTCGTGAGAGCACCTTGACTAGGCGGTCTCAGTTTGGACTTCCCTTGTTGTTTTCCTTTTCATATGAATTAGGTGGCCATGTCAATTCTTATACTATAAAGTTACCATAACTCATTAACTATACTCTTAATCTTCCTTCCTCCGTTCGATGGACAACTCGGACTGCGATTATACAGCATGATCGACCACGTTCTCGGTAAACCTTCCGTGAAGTCGCGCAGGCTTCAAGTACTTGCTGTGCTGACTTTTTGGTCCCTATATCTTTTTAAGTAAGGACTCCTTGCCAATATGCGAAATGACTCTCGCTAACAATGGCTTAGAGGCAATCGACATGGCCCGCCCGTTGCTCGATACTTGTCTAAGACCTCCTCGAAAGTATTGACAGTATGGCAGACTGTCGTGCTAACCATGATGTATCTATACGCGGCTCGGAACTTTAGCACCCTCGTCGGACTTGCTAGCCCTGAACCAATGGCGAACATGTATGATGCTAAGTATTTCCGCGCAACGTGGGTATTGACTGCGCTCGATGCGGGTTTTTGGACAGCCATGAAAATTAAGAAGAAATGGATACGAGATATAGCTAGCTTGGCATTCTCACTCTTTTATCTCGTGGCGGCAGAACGCGCGGATGAGAAGGTCAGGAAAGTTCGAGGTGCGTTAACTGTCGATCACCTACGGGTAAGCTGGAATAAGGGCACCACACCATATCTACGAGCCGTTCAAAACTTGATGCGCCCCCGGTTCACACGGTGGCCACCGCGAGCGATTCGCATCCCTCGGCCTAGTTCTAGCGATTACAAAGAACCGGTCTCCGGGTGGTTGTACTACGACGGGCCTATATCAGACTTGGAGCACATCAATAAGATGATCTTAGACATCCCCGGAGGAGGTTTTGTGGCTATGGACCCGCGATGCAACGATGACAAGCTCTTCGCATGGGCCGGAAAAACCGGCCTTCCAATACTCAGTCTAGAGTATAAGAAAGCACCAGAGTTCCCGTATCCATACGCTCTAAACGAATGTTTCGATGTGTACACGACCATTGCCAGAAGCAAGGGGCGATGCATAGGGATGTCAGGCATGGAGGTTCCGAAAGTAGTGGTAACGGGTGATAGCGCTGGTGGAAACCTCGCGACAGCCATGACTTTGATGATAATCGAGAGCAATACAAACCGACGTCAATATCCCATTCAGGCTGAGCTTCCTCTTCCCGCCGGACTTATACTTCTATATCCTGGTCTGGACATGAACATCGGGAACTGGATGTCTGACGAGCAGATGTCTTTGATTAAGGATCGGCGGGTGCGAGCGACGAACAAGGACTACCTGCGCCGGAAGAGTATGCAATATAACGACCTAGTTGGCACTCCTCACCAGTCCGATGACGAAGATGAAGAGCCTTCCGGTCCGATTCCTAGTGAAAATCCATCTACGTTGGATATCGGCACTGGCGATAGCGAACTTCGCAGCCCTCAGCCCGAATACTCCCACGCCAATCGCCAGACCTGGGCGAAATCCGAACAGTCGACCCTGATCTCAAACCGGAACGCCAAGTCAACGTCGCATAGGCCCGAGCCAATGAAGACGCGCTTGGCTATGGCGTCTATGATCTCCTACTTCAACGACCGCGTTCTCACCCCCGAGATGATGCGCGCGATGATCATCTTGTATATCGGGCCTCACAACCGGCCCGACTTTTCCCAGGATTACCTCCTATCTCCTATATTGGCCCCCGATCTCTTGTTGCAGAAATTCCCGAAAACCTACTTCCTCACCGGCGAGCGCGATCCTTTAGTTGATGACACAGTCATCTTTGCTGGGCGCTTACGCCGCGCCAAGCAAGCTTTCCATTCGCAGCGCAGCTCTCAGGGAACGCGAAGTCTAGATGATATTACGGACTTTGATGAAAAGGACGTCGCTGAGATCGTCTTGATCCCCGGTATTAGCCACGGCTTCACGCAATTTCCGAATTTGTACCCACCTGCATGGAAGCTGATCGATCGCTGCGCGCGATGGGCAGTGGACGTTCTTGATACAGCAGAGACACGCATGAAACATGAACAACAGAGCTTGTCACAGCGTCATCACTCGCGTGTAGAGTCCAGCGGCGATGAGGACCGACCACTGGAGATAAATATGACAAAAATGCGGTCGCGTGCTATCAGCGATGGTGCCAAGGTGAAGCCAAACAGCTCTGAACCGGTAGGAGATGATATCAACGTTGAAAAGCCGAACGGAAACACAAAGAAGAGGAGATCTAGTGGGCGGTCCGGATTTGGGCAGAAATCTAAGAGCATCATTAAACTAGATAGTTCAGAAGATTTACTCGGAAGACGTATGCAGGGCCTCGCCAGTTCTCTGACCGGAGGACATGATGAAGATTAACGTACCCGGTGGGTGGTTAAGTAGAGAGAACATTGATACCATTTCCACTTGGTAACAACTCAAAATACAAACTCCAATGTACCAAGTTCTCCTTAGTTCTACGCTGAGATATGCAAAGAGCTTAATCAAGATACTTACTAAGTTTGGCTTCTGCGTACCTAGGTTTGTGTCGCCCTGGAACAAAACAAGATACCTAGCTGATTATAGAAATAATTCAGCGTCTTTCTAAAGGAATCCCTTGAAAAGGGAAATGCTATTAGTTTTCTCATATGTAAAGGTTGAGAATGACATCCATACCACTTATCCGAATCCACAGCTCACATATGAAGAGCATTATATCATTCAAGGATGAGCATATATGGCGTCAGGTTAGGTACCTGTTAACTGTTTAAAATCCCCTAAGTTGTGTATCTTGTCTAGATACTAGGATCACGTATGCTAAAGTGATCGCTACCATATGCTATCCAAGGTAGTAAAAATATAATATTGAGTAGCAATATGGTTATAGAGAAGTACAAGGACATGAGATGATAGGTAAATCATTTAGTATTTCGTAAAGGTAATTATAATAATGTTGAAACGAAAGGCTAGCATCGTCGAAGATGATGTTTTAAGAAACTGGAGTATCGTTGAAACATGCCGAGACCGCTTTATACTATCGTCAGGTAACCTCATGACTGGGCACCGTAGCAATTATCTTAGCATCATGGTGTAAGCTGCCTTTTCCTGAACCTAGAATGTAAATAGGAGGTTAAGATGATAGTCAACTGGGTAAAATACATCGAACTAAAATAATCCCCCCTCATGGTGAACCACCACCGGTCTTTTGCTCGATCTGCCGCTCAATACCTCATATTGACGAGGAAACTAAGTTGAACCATAACTACCTAGGTATGGATAGAATACTTAAAGCATCGGATACGGTCTTTGGAGAAATAGAAAGGTTATAGGTATCTAAAGTAGTCTTACTACCTAGGTATATAGTAAGGACGTAACGGAAATTATGGCCATACCCCCTTCCAACCACCATTCATCAAGCTATGTATTCCTAGCCTGTATTTGGATTTAACCACCCAAGTTTAAGATGCATTAGAATATCATATCATCCTTTATATTTATTCATATATGATGAAATGGATGTTATGAGATATTGAGATGCCATGATTTGGACCGTCTAGCTTTAGTGCATCAAACCGCCTTACTTACCTCCTATGTATCTATGTGCCATTAGAAGACTTAATGTTTTCATTTATTAATATTTACGATATCATAACCACGAGGTTTACGTTAAATGGGTTCGTTATGGTAAAGGATCGTAGGACGAGCGAGTAGAATGTTTTTAGGTAGTTAACCGCTGTTAGTATGCTTGACATGAACTTCAGGATTAATACTATCAGTCATTTTAAACCCTAATTTCTTCGGCACAGTGCAAGTTCATTGGAGAATCCGCTGAGCCCGTGTATTTCACTCGATATAAAATAGGTGAAAGCTGGCGTATTGCTACAGGATATATTAACTGCCCCGGACGAATATACTACTGGGCCTAGAAACCAATTTCTAATTATAAGAAACGTAGGACGGGCATCTACTTATTTGGCTACCTGAAAGTCATATGGTAGACTGTAGCCTCATAGGATCTACAATCGGTATGCCCCTTTTGACATAATGATACCACATGCCAGCTACTTGTTGTATTCGCTTGAACTTCTACAACTCCCTCGGGAGAGCATTACCCGAGGGTGCAATACCCGACTTACTAAGACATGACAGTATAATAGTATCGCGATATACCGGGTTTGGCATAATAGTCGCCGTATCAAAAGTCATGAACTAGTTACGAATAGTTCTACCTGATTTAGGTGCACCGCAAATATAAGTGGTAACATTGAATTTCCAACAGGATTGAGGCTGCCACGGTGACACTCGGAACATCGAGCTGAACATCCTAGCTGTTGGGCTACCAGGGCACAGCACAATCAAGTACCCTTGCTGTTTCACGATCCCGCGTCTTGCAGGAGGACGTGCAGTATAGAACTCCTTCTCCGTTGCATTTACCAATGAGAAATTCTTCGAAGGAATTTCATTGCCTACCCCTCTGCTTCGTCCCACCTAGTCGCCTGAAGCAATCGATACCAACGTGCATTAATGGATCAAGCCCCTCATAGCCGACAACGGCTTTTGCGGTGTGTGTATAGCATCCATATAGGGACTCCATAGTAGACGGAATCGGCTAGAGAGGAACGAGTATTCCGGCTCTGGCAACTTAAAAGTCTAGCTACCTAGTCACTGCACATCCTTCCACACCATCACAAATTACCTAACATATGAAGACGGCTGGGCTGCATACTTGATGGGTGGGTGGCCGAGTAATCCTTGTTGAAGTAATTCAAATAGAGCTGAGACCGAGGCAACTTGCCGGAATAGATATTGTGAGATTTTAGTTTTCTGTAAACACCACCAGGCCCTGCTGCTGTGTGGATAGCACGTGGAAAAACGTCAGTCGAGGCTTTAAATCCAACGCACATCTGGTAGTATTGTTTATGATTTGCTGACCCGGACCCCTGACAACTTAGAAGCTGATGAGGTTTCTCTCTACCTTGCCTGTAAGTATATACGAGTGTTACCATGGCGTTCATAAAGGAGGCCGATGCCGCGGACAGTAAAGGGAGTGCATTAGTTTCTCAATGTGCCCGCGAATTATGTTTAAGACGTTGCCATATACACGTATTATGCATGTAGGACTAGGGGAATCAGGCCTAGGCCTATTGTAACGCTGAATATTTGCTACAATCCGTCGAGTTGAGTTGCCTGCCCCTCGATATTAGCAACACTTCGCTCCTGACAGCCTTTTGATCCGAGCTCTTCCGGTCCAATCGATTCGTCCTAGGTTCGAGATGAGATAATGATGCCGGCTCTTAGGGGACTACTTATGTCATAGGCTGAACCCCCTTAGGCCGCACGCATTCCACAAAAGGGGCAGAAAGGAAAAGTCTCAGTAGCGACGGTAAATAAAGTCTTATATTGTTCTCGTGTATTCGGATACGTCTTGGAAAGACTTGGATTTAGATAGAGTCGAAAATAATAGACCAAAATCGCATACTAAACCAAAAAAAAAAAAAAAAACCTAACACATGTCTACTAACACCTAGTCGAAAAATGGGTATTACCGTAGTGATGCAAAGAATGGTATATAAATACAGTCGTACAAATGCGTCACCGAACTTTCAAGAGTGCTCTCGTTTAAAAGGATAAACGAAGTAGTCGTTCGCTCGTTCGTTCGTCAAATTCGTAGTCTCGTCGGGTATCGTCCGGCGGGTATTCTCCTCCGCGTTCTAGTGAAAGTTTTTTTTTTCTTCTTACGAGAACGAGCTGGAACTTCCTTGGATGCCATTAGATTATGTTCGCAATGCTGATCCTTTCCGTACTACGGCTTCCTGACGCCGCTCCAGCAGTTGGGCTATTTCTACTGCTGCCGATTTCAACCGTGCCACTCCCGAGTATATTCCCTGGTACATTCGCTCCTTGTTCCACTTTGATGGGCGGAAGCGTTTGCGCTCGAGGCGCATAAGCTGTAGCTGGGCTCGGTGCCCCGGATGCTAGACCTCTAGTGAGCTCTATTAGGCTATCCCATCCACCCCAGTCCTCCCTCTCACTTGCGTTTAGGCCCGTTCGATTGTCCGGATGTGCTAGACCACCTCCAGTAGTTGACGGAGGCATTGTCAATGGTACTTCACGCTCCGCCCCGAACCAGACCCAGGCTGTTTCAGTGCTAGCTTGCATATCTGCACTCACGTATGTCAGGAGTTCCTCGTCTTTCAACAATGCATCTTGGACGGCTCTAAGATCGGGTAGAGCCACTTGCGGAGTGTAGCTAGGCGTGGCTGAACGTGGGAGGACAGCTAATAATTCACGTTGCTTGGCTTCTAGGATCTGCAGGAAGAACGATAAGAAGCGTCCACAAGGAATGGTAATGTCTCGTCGCGCATCAATCGACTTGAGAGCCCTTAGACACGTAGATGCCAACTCGTAGTATCCCGTGAGGAGTAGAAACAACGCAGAGCGGAATATGTGGGTGACTAGAAGACTTGTAGCGGTATCTGCGAGAGTCGAGTTGATCCTGGCAATTAGGTTCGCCGTCTCTATCGCTGTCGCTTTGCATTGCTGAATTGCGTCGCTTCGAGCTTCTATAGGACAGCCAGGGGCAAGGTTATGACGGTGTAGAAGCAACCGAATACTAAGGAGGTACGCAAGGGGCATTAGTACATGAGGAGCAACTAAAGAGGTATTATTTGCTTCGCATGATTCTGGAAACATTTTCTGGCAAGCGATAAAATGGCTGTCGAATGTCGCTAGTCGCGGCGGCTCGATCACGGCACTGGAGAAAGCTTCTCTTATAGCAGAGAAAGATCGTACCACGTTGATTATACCGTGTAGAAAGTGAGTTAGGGGTATGGCGTTTGGGGGATGCACGGGACCTTCGGTATGGAGGAAATGATCGTCGAACGGCTCGGGGAGGGCTACGTCGCAGTCGGCATCGTCGATCATGAAGGGGCGTCCAAGGTCCATAGATAGCGTTCTATCGAGAGCGTATATCGCCCACCAAACCCGTCGCCTCATATCTGCCTCGACTCTAGAACGTACCCCAACCACTTCCAAGTGAAGGTCGAGGTCTTGCGCACTTCGTACGGCGCCGCCCAACCAAGTCCAAGCCGCCGACTTCAAATTCAGTTCGTTCAAAGCTAGCGAGACAAGAAACGACGCTCGGACGTTGTCCAGATCAAAATTATCGTTCCAGGGATCTACTAAGCTTCGCGATGCCTCTAAAAGCTCGCTGGCCTGTAACGTCCTGTCTGGATACGGCTCGTTACTAAATAGGCTCCCTACGGCTAAGACCGCAAAGAACATAGAATGCCAAGATATGGGAACCCGCTGTATATTAGTAGTGTTTTGGTATAATTCCTCTACCTGATGTTGTAACGTCGGCCAATGAAGTATCGGCATCATGATGTGTGCCGCTCCATAGTACGTATGGAGAAGCTTGTCTACAGTAGCTTTAGGAGGTAACGGTGGTCTGGGGAGGTCGAATGCGACAATAGCCGTCGACGGTTGTCGATATGCCGGTGGCGGCTTCAGGACACCCCTTGAGAAGTTCCGGAAAGCCACTCTCGCTCGTGAGGGATCCTGAAGTGGAGGAGCCGCTCTTCTCCGCCTCCTAGGCTCGGAGTTTAAGTCCGGGAGAAACTGCTGCGATAATTGCTCAGCACTTTCTGCATCGACATCCATGTGCTCGCCCCGTTCAGCCAGCGTGCGCCTTAAATTACTATTCTCTCTCCGTACCCTCTCTATCTGCTTCTCGAGGTCTTGCACTTGTTTGATAGATGACATGCGCCGGTTGGTCTCCTTGGTAAATTGGCATTTGACATTGCGGCTCGAGCATTCTGAGCAACTCGTCGTCTCTGTAGCGTCACACTTAACCTTTCTTTCCCGACAGGCATCGCAGCTTTACACGTGTACGGAACGGTGAGAAGCGAATATTGGGTTTTCTTACGCCAAGGTGCAGTTAAAGAAAAACCAATACCCGCCCTCCCGAGGTTCCGTACGGAGAAGTCAGCATCAAATTTCTTTACCGAGAAAAGGGGGCGCCTAGCCATTATTATGTCGAACTCTCTCGTTTACGAGACCAGAACATACATGAATAAATAAAAAGAACGCTACTACCGAACACATACCTTGGATCTTTCCTCCTTTGGCGGTAGGCGCGCTTCTGGGCCGAGACATTCGCCGACAGCTGAGCGCTAGAAAGTCCCGGGGTGCTTGCCACCGACTCGGTTGGGGGCAACGAGTCCCGGCCCATCACCGAGGTTGCCGTCACCGGCGTATAAGGTTGAAATCCCGTCTGGGTTGCTGGAGGTAGTTGTGGAATACCTATGGGTTGTGGAGTCTGGGCGGCGTTCGACCTCACGTTTGAACCCATCAAGTTTCCCAAAAGCTGCTGGACTTGCGGGCGAGGTGAAGTTGCCGACGAGACCGAAGAAGAGTCATACGACCTTGTGGATGGGTTGGGGGAACGGGGAAATGGATTGTGTGACGAAGCTGCCATCGTTGGGAGGCTTACGGTTAAGCTGCTGGCAGCTTGGTCGGGCGGAGTTCTCCTCGGATCGGGCTCTCCCCAGTCGGGCGGGTTTCTGGGGAGAGTTGCCGCTCAAGGAACATGCAGAGAGCTGTGCTGCAGTCGTCTCTTCAAGGACGGCCAAGTATTAGAACAGTTTCCAAGCACCATTCCACCGTGGTCCAGACCTAGGATGATGAACATACGGCGAGCGGTGGATTTTCGACGAGAGAAGTCGACAAGACCTATCTATCCTCACAACGAGACCACAAGAGTTTTTTTCCAGCCTGGTTCATGCAAAATAAAAAACCCCTTTTCTTTGTTCGTTCTCGATAAATCCTAGGGACCAACTGCCCTTTGCGGTGTTGCAGCAGCGTTGTGTTACTAGACAAATTCGTTCAAGTTCTAGTCCCTCGCCTAACCCGCATCCTCTGAGCATTCAACCACCTAATAGATCAGCTCCGGCGGGGGTTTCCCAAACTACACGGGACGGACGACCGGCTGGGAACAGAGTCTCGGAAGCGCTAGGGCTGTTGCGATCCAGCATCCAATACTGCTATTCTCCGTGCGGTTGGAGACTTTCGCCGGCATCAATAGGATTGAGAAGGGGTCGATTGCCTAAACAGGAAGGGTGAGCCTGCCGGTAGGCGACAATGATCATGTGCAAATGTAAAGTATTATAAACTACGATACGGGTTTAATGTGGTGTTACTCCAGGAGGGACTCCGGGGTGACGACGATGGGTCTGGCAAATGAGCTGCCTCACGTTCGAGGATAGCCGGTGACGGGAAAAGAAAGCAGCAAATTCTGGAAAGGGCAGTGATTTGAGGAGAAGGGCGATGGCAAATCTGTCGATAGACAGGCTACTACTGCTGCTAGTTCGCAGGTGTATATCCATCTGGTTCTCCCGCCCTAGCCCGGCGCCGAAGCAAAAAATCGGAAATATATAATCTGGAGGGGGTCGAACTAAATCCTTCTACTTTTGACCCCTGTAAATAGTACAAGGAAGGCAGTTAAAGCAGGGCCCTTGGGCGATGGCTCGTCGACAATAGAGAAAAAAGAAGCTAGCTACGGTGTTTCGAGCTGTGTATGTAGGTGGGCCGCCGGCCTGGGCCCTAGCCTGACCCTAATATAAGCACAGGTCGCCGTACTGTGGTAAAACCCTAGGACCTTGCCAGATCAAGGGGGGCAAGCCGCGATGGCGAATCGGGCAACCGCTCCAAAATAGCTTAACAGAGGTTCCATGTATGTATAGTTATCTGTAGTTATGTATAGTTGTATGTATGGTTGTATGTATGGCTGTATGGCTGGCTGTATGGATGGCTGGCCGGTTGGATGGATGGATGGATGGATGTCTGTATTGTCTGTACATATATGTGAGTTAGGCCCGCGGTTTTACTCTAGCATATATTCAACTGATGTCTATCTACTATTACTACCCGGTCCCTTAAGCATGTATGTAGGTATGTATGTAGGTATGTAGGTAGGTAGGCATGTACCGTAGCGCTTTAAACTCGGCGAATGCGCCTAGCAGGGAGGATGTCCATTTTGGCTTGCAGAGACCAATGACTTGTCAGAGGAACCCTCCTTTCCCCCAGCTTGATGCTAAATATGAACTATAGCGTATCCAAGTACATTCATGCGACAAATTCTACCTGCCCTCCCTACTACGGCAGGCATCCTAATGTTCGGCTGGCTTGCCCTGGCCATGTATGTAGGAATCCTAGACCTGGACTATGCAACCTCCACACTGGAAAGCTGTACCGTACCTAGTAGCTGCGCATTGTTTTAGCGTGGGATATCTTAGGTAGGACTGGCTGGCGAGTCGGCACTCCCCTCGGCTGTGCCCAGGTTCGACCAGGCCCGTTCGGGTTGCATGATGTGCATTCGGAACCCAGGAATCAAGTGTAGAGGGCCCTTTTCGCATTCCTCCTCTTCCCGCGCCTTTCATTACGCTACGTCCTTTCCCCATCATCGCTACATTTCCGCCTGATCATTCGCCGTAGCCTCCTAGCCCTCCAGCTGTTCAACTTAGCGACACGCTAGGTGTCTGTTAGCAAGAGGTGGTGCAAGGGAAACAATAAATACCTAGGTATGCTACGTGCGTGTAGGGGGTTTCCTTGGTAAGCGGCAGTGGCCGGTCCGTTGTTTTAGCAGCCTTTTGACAAGCATGGCTAGGACCAAGTCATATATGTACCTATCGTATGTACTATATGTAGGTAGGTATGTAGGGTACCTTAGGTAGTTATGTAGGTTAGAGCATCGTCTGTGAGCCCGTGACCCGATCGCTTTTTAATAAAACCTGGCATATGAAAAGAGGAGCGTCCCACTGGTGGACAACGGCTCACGACAGGGTTGAATATGGTCACTAACGACAGCTAGCTTGAAACGTACCAAAGATCGAATGCTCTCCGTGCTCATGCCGATGTAACCTGATCGCTTGGTTAAGCTAAAATTAATAAACTCCGAGGCATTGGCACCCATGTGTCGCGCGCTGGGGATTCCGACACCTTCATTCTGGAGATGATGTTCGTCTTGTCATCTTTACTCTTTCATCCTTCGGGAGACGAGACCCAGCGGGCAGGCAAGTCGGGTGTGCCACAAGCTCGTGGCATCGCTCAAACCCTGTGGCGTTTTATGGAAGACCCATGCCGAAGACAGAAGAAGAAGAAGAAAAACCCCAACTATTACTAGCCCGCCCCTCAATCTTTCTCGACTAAGTTAGTGATCCCGGGACGATCTGGTCATTTTCAAGGCACGTTTTGTCCTGGTGATAGCCCTAACGCTTTGCATGGGAATACCCCCCCTTCGGCCTCAACTGTAGTAATCTGGCTGGGGTTGAAAAAGGGCATGGGGAACATGCAAGGTGCCGCAAAGAGATCACACTACCAATACGTAGCCTGCATATCAGTATGCTAGCTTTGGAGCCCGCCAGTCCGCGATGAGAGACGATTCCGAACAGGCAAGGGGGATAATGGAGTTTTCCGTTCTTACCTACCTAAGGTACAAATCCAGTTCCAATCGACGAAGGGGTGGATAATGCGCCGCATCTTTATAACATACCTAAAGTACCTACCTACATAGGTAGATACTCGGCGACGACATGGGACTTCTCTCGCTACTTACTATCTACTTACAGCCGTATGAATAGTTAAGATAGCTTTAAGAAGTATATTGCCGAAACGATCCTGCACCTTTCTAATAATTCGTTCTACCTACCGGGTTTCCTAACTGAGAACCGTGCCGCTTAATGGCATGAGACGCCGTACATACACTTTGTAGTGGCTGCATCGTAGCATAGAACAACAAGATTGAATATATGGGAGATGGTGAATGGCTATTAAAAGTCATATTAAAGCACTGGCCCTGGCCGATAGCGATAGAGTTATATAAACAGTGCCACTCGAATACGCCGAATGTCATGAACAACGTAGACGTGTACTCAGGGTTGGGTTCGACCACAGTGTTTATATAAAACTACTGTAAGCAGTTACAACTATGTAATTGCAATTATAAACTCTAGTAAACTAGCATTGATAAGGAAAGACATTGTCTGACTTTGTCTTACACTACGCCCCATCTCGGGATCGCAAGCCATCTGCTTCGCTACCTATTATTAGTGTCTGCTTGGTAGCCTCATACATGGGCCTTATAGTAGTAAACGATCCATGAAAAAAAAATATACAAATAAAGGTTGAGTTCGCCATGTTTATGCAGGGAAGTTTGAATTTTAATCATATTTTTGTACAAAGGGAGAAAGCTATCCAAAATATCTTCACCGAAACCCACTTCGAGCAAGGGCGAGAAGTAGCGGATGGATCATGGATAAAGGCCACGCGGATAGGTAGCAACCAATCGTCAAGCTAAAACAAGGGAACAAGGATATGAAGTTGTATTAAGGTGCGAAGCTTATGGATGGCTGGGAGGATCTTCAAAAAATCATATAATAACAGCACAACCAGCATGTCAATCAGATCATGAAGATCTGGGACGCTATCCCACGCTATCTGGTTATCTGTCAGCTAATGACCGGAGCTATACTAAAGAGCTGGGGCATGCTGTTTTCGAGCTTTCCCAGAGAAGTACTTAGCCCATCTATGTACTGATCGCGAATGATCCTACTAGGTAAACTCGCGCGCACCAACGCTGGTCGAGCTATGTTATGTAACTTAGGTGATAGTAATAGTTCTAATGGAGCTGAAGTCAAACCAAAATCGGCAGATAGCTGCATGGTAAATATCGAGATCGTCAGGGGATTTGAGGCTTTTAGGAGGATAGAAAGTTCTTAAAGCCAAATCACAGGGATAAAGCAACGCTCATCTCATTTCACCGAGTTACGGATCCTGATTACTACAAGCAACTAGATTAGCTTGCTGATTCGACGGTCCCGGGTGTCGAATATGATTATATATACTGTACGTAAGGACGGTACCGCGCCTTATTGGTACGATTTCAACCTATCTAAAGGACAATCATCGAGATACGGAGGTGTGAACGTATTAAGGAATATTTCCAGGAGGGAGCCACGGGCATGGGAAGATATCTTGGCTTCCATTGAAGCGGGAGGGATTATGGCCGATTTCTAGGGCTGTCGGTTTCATGCTTGCGCTGCACTCGTTGTTTGTTACGGCAAAATCGAAATCCATGTCATACATATACATAAAGACTCCTGATATAGGTACATAATACAAAAAATACTTATGCATAAATTTATTAATTAGTTAGTAAAATTATGAGCTGTAACTTTCCAAAACAAACCGAACAGCAATAATTCAATCATTGAATTGATAGTTAAGTTAGGGGTATAAAGAAGAGGACGTAAGCGTAAGTAAGTAGTAAATATAAAGTAACTAGGACACATGTTACGCAGTGTAAGTGTTACTACATCGAACGAATCGACAGTACATAATAGAAACTCACTTTGTACGGCGTACATACTGATCAAGGGACGGCACGGAAGGCATCCGACTGGGCTCCATTAAGTATTAAGT